AAAATTCTCCTTTTTTTGTTTCCCCTCATTGAGATGACTCAGCAGAAAGGTTTCAGGGAAGTTGGGTCATTGCCACAAAGTACCTGCTTTTCCTTGAGTGGATTTTAAGATCTACCTACTGTATATCAAAAATATAGGCCAGGCCTGGTGGCTCACGCCTGGAATCCCAGCACTTTGGGAGGCCGAGGTGGGTGGATCACGAGGTCAAGAGATTGAGACCATCCTGGTCAACATGGTAAAACCCCGTCTCTACTACAAACACAATCAATCAGCTGGGCATGGTGGCACGTGCCTGTAGTCCCAGCTACTCAGGAGGCTGAGGCAGGAGAATTGCCTGAACCCAGGAGGCGGAGGTTGTGGTGAGCCGAGATTGCGCCATTGCATTCCAGCCTGGGTAACAAGAGCGAAACTCTGTCTCAAAAAAAAAAAAATATATATACACACACACACACACACACACACACACACACACACATTCAGTTTTTTATAGATTTTGAATTTACTTTCTTTTATATCTTGGTTTTACCTTTTAATTAAATTATTAAGAAACAGGCTTCCTTTTTTTTGGTTCTTTTATGATTTTAAAAGCTAAAGATGAACTCCTTTTAATATGTTTGTTCTACTTAATGCTAAATTAGTTCACAACAGCTTTTTTGGTCTTCCTATTTCTTTCTTATTCTTCATCTGAGAGTAATCTCAGGACATAGCATTTCTGTTTCAGCTCACATAATTAGTCTCCCCAACTCTAGCAAATACTATGTTAATAATAATTTTGTAACTTGTATATATTTATTGCCTGGAGTAAGGTTTCAAAATGAGCAAGTTTAAGGTAATGCACCTTATCCATTGTGTACTTTTAATGCAGAAACAATTTTCCACAGAGTCTAGTAGGAAAGCAGTTTACTCCATGGAACATCTCTATTTAAGATTTTCACTCAAAGCCTAAATGCACTCAAAATAGTTCTCTTTCAAATGCACTCAACACTAAAACACAGATAATTATCAGCTATGGGAAAAGTCTTTGAAAATGTGGTGTTGAGGCAGTGCATTAATATATCTTATATAAAAAAGATTCCATTTTTTTCCCAGCAATCTGTCACCTTCCAAGTTTTTGTGTAGGTATCATGCATTATCTTCAATATGTGCATAATGACAGGTATCATGTGTTATCTTCAAATTCTGCATAAAAGCCAATTTTAAATTAACCAAATTACATTTGGAGCTGACCATCTACAAGAAGAGAAGTCCCTCAGCCCTGGATTTATGGTGCTAGTGGAGAAGCCCTAGTTACCTGCCACCCACTCAACATACCCATTCTTTAGTGTCATGGATTTTCTATTCAGAGCACTTATTCCAATGTATAAGTAAACATTTTTTGTTGTTATTTTCTGCTGCTTCTGGCTATGATAAGAGCTCTATGAGAACAAAAGCTATTTTTAGTTCCTAGCTATATATATGATGACAACCAAATAGAAGACATAAGAGTTTTTGGGTGAATAAATAAATACTTCTGCATGCAAGCTGAGAAATATGTTTCTACATGGATTACTTAAATAATTCCTTGATTTCTAACCTAGGAGAAAGCTAGTTAAATCTCCTCATACCTAACATGGGGGAAAGCTAGTTCATATCTCTTGGGATACTAAGGACCCCAGAAGACTGAAAAACTTGAAAAGTTTCCAAATGCATTTTGGTCTGTAAGATTGCTGCCAATTAATGCCAGTATAACTGGTTCATATTTATAGTTGCTTTTCTGGAATTGTCAGATTTCTCTGTTTAAATGATCTTTATCATTATGAGACATATAGACCTCTCCACCGAGAAATACAAGCAAGGATCTACTTTTGTAATTGTAATTACCCCTTTTGTAAGGGATAATTTTTTTCTTACGTATACAGTCCTAAGAAGGCCAATAATTATTGCATATTGGAAGAGAGCTTCACTACACCAATAGCTTTCTCTTAGTGATTCTGTCAGAATAGCCCAGAAAGCCAGTGCTTTACAAGATTTTAGTAGGTGCAAGTAATACCTATGTTGAATTATTATATTCTTAATAATCCCCTTGATCACTAACTTGAAAATGCAAATTTTATTCCATACATAACTTATGTTATTCTTGGTTACCCATGAAAAGAGCAAAATTAGATTTGGCCAGATAGAGGTCTCTGTATGAGCTGATTATTTGAGAATTTTCTTTGCTTTTGAATTGCCGCTGCTTTTCTTTAGAAGGGGTACATTTTGAATGCCCCAAATTTACTTGGGTGGAAATTATGTTCCAAAAATGATAGCAGAGAAGTTAGCAGCCTGAGCTCCTTTGTTTCATTGCAGTGCCTTATGTTGTAGGTTGAATGATTTATGCCTTGGTTTATAAGAAAGCCTTATGAACTTGATTATTAATCAAAGTATATTAATAAAGTAGAACATTATCAATTAAGCATCCTTTCACATGTGGAAAAGTTTACATAGAGAGCAGTAGTAACTGATTTTGGCTAAGCAACAGAGAGTCATTAAACATGTTAGAGTTTGTTCCTAGTGATAAATTATTGGAGATTGCAGTAAAGTCTTAATTTTTTTACTCTCTTTTATTTTCATTTTCTTTTATTTAATAAATATTATACACATAGAATTAAGCTAGGTATGAAAATTCAAGGCTAGAGTAAGAAACACATAATCTCAAGGATTTATAGGTAGCTTTTTTCTTGTTTATATCATTTTTTCCCTTTCCTGTTAATAAGACTTATATTCCAAGTTGGGGCTTGGAAATGTTAGAGTTCCAGGTTATTAAGATTAAAAGTGAACTTAAGTGTTTAATGTTTCTACTGACGTTAGTTCTGGAAACTCAAAATCAGGTCCAAATAAATTACATGGAAATTGTAAATAACACCTACTTTTCCCTGTTTCTTGCTTGGCTACTGCTGGTGTTTATGAACTATTCAGAATCAGAATGAGTTGTTCCTGGCAGCATGGACTGTTATCCCAAACTGACGTTTTGAAAAGATGTCTCATGGACTTAAGTTTTAAATTAGAATATTATTTCTGTTGATCCTCATTTTATCCACTGTGAAATAAATAAATATGAACATGTGATAAGGCATCTCTTTCCTAAGATGGAAAAAGACTGATAAAATAAAGACTTTGTTGCTAAAAAAAAAACAAACCCAACATTTTACTGTAATGTTGAGCAAAGGAAACTAAACTATAAATTTGAGTGGTTTGTTAGCTATAGATAATGGGAGCAAGAAAGCTGACTCACGGAGAAGCCTGTTTAGAATACTGAGATGCTCTGAATTGCCACTTTCTGTAACTTCCACATGCTAGGAAATGCTGCTTCAGTCACCGGTTCTTAACTTCTACCAGCAGACATTTTACTGTAATTACATTAAATTGCTGAAATAAAGACATCTCTAATTACTTCATGGAGAGACTCTAGTACAGACTGACTAGAGACTCTGCTGAAATAATCACTGAGCTCTTATTTCAACAAAGTTACTGCAAATCTACATTTCTCAGCAATAATATTGTGTATTTTTACTGAAAGTCTGTTTTGGGGTGAATTTGTTGTTGTTGTTTTTTTTGTTTGTATGATAATGGTTATCATAAGAATGCCATAAAGATATGAGACAAAAAATGTGGAGAAGCTTTGACCTCTGGGTTCTATATTAGATATTTCACATATATTCTTATTTTATTCTCATAAACAATAGAAATTAGGAGTCATTACCTTCTTTTTACCTAGAGGAAATGGAGTTGCAGAACAGTAAATGCTGATGCAAATTCCTGTAGCAAGCCAGCCCATAGCTGGATTTAAATGCAAGTCAGTGTGGCTACAAAGTTTGTCTTCTTTTATTTCATGCCATTTTTCTTGATATTGTAATACTCAGGTGGTAATTTGTCCTTTTGGAAGTCTGTGAAGGGATTCTGCTATGTGAATGGCAAGAATACATTTTCACTGATGAGGGCAGTAGATATGGATGGGTCTAGCTCAGCTGAGTTGAAGAAAATGTCTACAAAACTGTGGATGGCAAAGCCTAGACTTGAAGAAATGGGAAACGCAACTCCCTACAGACTTTTCAGCAGAATAAAAGTTATGAGAATATTAGTGGACATGGTTCTTCATCTCTGCGTAGTGATAAGTTCAAGAACTTATGTCGTGTAAAATTGTTATTTACAGTAAAACTTTTGACCTTTGATTCATTCTTTTAAGTTTGTATCTGAAACTAACAAATAATTCTGAAAAATTGTCAGGGGCCAAAGTAATAATTAAATAGTAATTAAGACAAGGGTATGTTGTGATTTCCACTGTGTTCTATTGTTAAGTGAACTAATGTTACTGGAAAGCAGCTATTTGAATCTTTGTGTATATTCAAAAAGTGATTTTGAAGGGATAAACATTTAAAAAGTAAAATCATGGTTAAATCTTGTGATAGGGATGTTGGTAAGTATAAATGATGTTTCTTATTTTGTTAGCACTTTATTTATATTACATAAGCAGTATGTGATTACTGTAAGAAGAGTGGGAAATACTCATTAGTGACAATTACTAGAACTTCAAAAAAGCACAATATAATTTCAGCAATGCTAATAACTTAGTGTATAATATTTACCATTTTTTCTATATCTACATGTATATGCTTTACCTAAACAGGATCAAATCACAGTTTTTGGTAACCTATTACTTGTTTGTTTATATGCCAGTTTTCCACTTCATAGTATTTTATGAATAGGTGTCCATTATTATTTGTGATTGCAATACTATTTCGTATTGTTGATATATCAAGCATATTAAACTAATTTTCTTTTACTGAACAATTACATTGTTTTGATTTTTCAATCAAAACAGTGCCCTCATGATTAAGACTTCAAAAAATATTTATATACTATTTTGCAAAATTGTCTTCATATAAATTTAAAATCTCCTCCTAACATTTTGTTTGCCTTTTAATGGGATTTGCACATTTTCTAAATTTTTGCATTTTAATGGATTTATACATATATATATATTTTTTTTCTTTGTGTATACTGCCATCCCTGTTATGGCCACAATGAACTTCATATTTATTGTGTTTCTAAATGTGTAAGTCATTTTGTATTATGTGCGTCAAAAAATAGTGTCTTCTTGAGATTTGGCATTTCATACTTCCTGCAAGTATGAAATATGATTGCTGCATATTTTTCTGAGGCATCGGGCCTGTGTGGTTGGTAGACATTATCTCCATCTCATGAGGGATGGATGTTAAAATTAACATCTGATTTTGTTTACCAGAGAAAAGATCATAGGTTATATTTTCTGGAACAAGTGATATGTTCTATATTGTGAGCACCAAACATCTTGAGAACAAATGAATGTAAAGGATTTTTAGAAAGAAGCCACGAGGAATATTATGGCCATTTATTTGCTATTAATGAATGCACAGTGTTCTGTAAAATAATCATGTTAACCAGTACACTGGTCTTCCTGTATCATCATTTCCTTAATAGTCTGCCAAGCAATGCTGAATCAAAGATAGCATTAAAGGAATTAGAATCAGCTGCTGAAGCGGATATGTTTACATCCTATAAAATTCTTTAAAAATAATTGTAAAAACACAAGCCTCAATTTCTTTGATCATGCTACTGGATGAAAGGAGTATGTGGCTGTAAATAAATTTCTTTCTCTTGAGCAAGTATCTGAGCAGAAGATCATAATGTCTCCACAGCTAGTTCCTTGTGGATCCACATTTGTGCCTTTTCCACGACTTCAACCATCAATACCTGATTCAAAAGAAAGGTACTGTAGGGTAAGCTGTAACATCAAGGGGTCAAAATGATGACAACGATGTTTGGATGTTTTTGCTTTTATGTTTAAGGCTATAATTATTTACTCTTTACTTATTTATTCATCCAAAATAGGGTACTTTTCATAATTTGTAGTTTCAATGAACTTACATTATATGCTTTAAATATATTTCTTTTAATGATCAATGAGAGATAAAAATTTCAGAAAACTCTCTTAAGCATTAGTAATATTTGATTTCACAATTTAAGTTACCTTCCAAAGTTAAGTGCATATATTAAACACTGACTTTAAACCATTAAATTGTTCTCATTTGACATAAAATCTTGTCTCTATCATTGTTATTTAAATTGAAGATATTTTGATTATGTTATACTCAACATTTTTTCCAAAAAGTTACTCAATCACTTACTTATTTTAAGGTTCATATTTAGGAGTTAAATATGTATAGCATAATCATAAGCATGAAAGGTATGGGGCAATCTAATGCATAATGGTATCATATCTGACTTTGTCTGCCCTTGAATGATTATAACTTTCTTTCAAAATGCCTGCTTCTGTTCCTTTTATCAGTACATTTTAGGCCAGCTCCCAGCATTGCAGATGAGGTTGTTACAAATACATTGATGTCACCAGTCAAGGGAATAATTCTACCTAATGAGCGAGGGAAGTGTTAACCAATTTTTATTACTGACAGTCGTAAGCCAGCAAGAGGGAAATCTCCACTCCATTAACGATTGGGTTTTTTAAGATCAACACTTAAAACTAAAATGTTTGTTTTTGAAATGGACTATGCTAAAGTAACTGGGTATGAACCCATGAGTAAAGATTTACTGCATTTCTTAATAGCCCTTCAGTCAATAACACCTTCTTTGGCTTAGATATCATCAGAAAATAAGAAGTTAGTATGTACCATTTCTACTTGATTCTTGCTTAAACAATTCTAAGAGAAGTGAGGAAAGGAATTACATAACTTATTTTTTCAATTGAAATAACAGCATAGAATTTTCTGTTGAGAGGAAAACATAGAGTAATAAAACTAGTGTATCAAAAGACCATTTCTCAATCTGTGTAAATACTTGGGGCTACCCAGGATTGTAGTATTGAGAGTAAAATGTTCGTTCAGAATAATTCTACATCTGATTCTTTCTAGAGGATGCTCATATAAAATCAAAATGATTCGTCTTTCAGTGAATTGCCAATGATCGCAGCATGGGTGAACTAAACAAATTAGGAAATGGAAAATAAAACAGGATGCTTTCACAGAAAAAAACATAAGGCTTTAATTTGTGATCTGGAAGCATGTGTAATAGATGTGGGTCATTGTTCTATACCACTGATGGTGGAGATTATTAGATTGGTGACAGAGCCGTCATTCCGTTACTGACCATTATTCTGTTTTATCAAAAATGCTTATTAGATAGAGATAGTTCACTGAAATTAATTTCAGGCTAGAAAGTTGACAATTTAGGAGTAAGAAAAAATGGCAGAAGAAATTTGGTACATTAGCAAGAGTCATGTATGACCAGACTTATGTTCAAATACCTCAATGTCACTATATATGAAAGGGATGTACCTCTGTTCCAACCTTTTATCTCCTTTGGACTTGTTTTCTATCTGTAAATATAATTTAGTTCTAAAAAATTCAGTGCATAGAAGGAGATTTGTGACCCTTGCATCTAATGTTTGTACAAGGAAAAAAGTAAAAAATAGGGGCATACATCTTCAAAATGCGTTTAATTTTCATTGTAAAATTGTACTTTTGTTAGATCTTAGTTTCATGACTTAGTACTGTGACTTTGTGCCATGTACTAAACTTTCTGGGCCTTATCAGTCTCATCTGTATGGGGATAATAATTCTTAGCTCAAAGGATTTTTGTAATATTAAATGAAAAATAAAGCCCAGAATATAGCAGGCATGTGTTAAAATGCTGTGATCCACCTGGGTATGTACTTACATTAGTAAGATTGATTAATGTAATACAAGTACCTTTTGGCAATGAAAATGTAGATTGGTAATAAACTGTTTTTCATCTTGTTCATATTAGTTATTTGGGATTATTTTCCATTTCAATTTTAATTTTACCCATTTCAATTTTACCCATATATGCCAGTTTCCTACATGATTTTAATTTCCTACATGATTAGGATAAAGTGATTGGACTAGATCATTGTTGAAGATGCACAAGCGGTAAAGCAGGCTTCTTGAGCAGTGTTTTGATCTCCAAATTGAACCTTGTCATGACAACTAGTGAACTAAACAAATTGAGAAATAGTTTAAATATCTGCATATTACAGTGAGAAATTCAACTCTATGCCTTATGGTTTGTTCATAGGAATTATGCTCCTTCTTGTGCACCCGCACGTTTACTTCACATTAAATTATTTAAACAAATTGAAACTTTTCAAATGATAACTTCATATTTTTAATTGAATGAAAGTTTCTGAGTAACTAAGCATATGTCCTTCATATGCTTGAAATATATGCTATTTTCAAAGAGCACATGCTGATTCACAGGCAGATTAATGGTTTCCTATTAATAATCTTCCCCATGAAAGAAAGTCAAGCAGCTTTTAAAGTACTTGAAACTGTAAAGATAATGGCCTCATTTTCAGGAAATTTGTTAGATTATTCGTATCATTCATTTTATGTTACCCTGTTTTGCTAATAAAGTGTCATTACTCACACATGAATACTTTTGAACACATTTCAGGTAATTTAACCTAACTTCATGTTACTATGATGCATTTTATGTCTGTGCTTCAACCTTTGTGTTACTCATACCTTATATTTGAAAAACAGAAGGCAAATTACTGAAGCTTATTATCAGCTCTCATAAGTTCGATGAGGTCCATCTTTTTACATCAAAATGAATAAAAGAGATAACTTGCCATTTCAAATGCCCTTTTGCTGCTTCTCCAAGAAGTTTTGAGAGACGTCTTATAGAATAGTGGTCCCCAAGCTTTTTGGCACCTGTGACTGTTTTCTTGGAAGACAGTTTGTGCACAGACAGGTGGGCGCATGGTTTCGGAATGAAAAGTTGTTCCACTTCAGATCATCAGGCATTAGTTAGATTCTCATGAGGAGCATACAACCTAGATCCCTTGCATGCACAGTTTACAAGAAAGTTTGCAATCCTATGAGAAACTAATGTCACTGCTGATCTGACTGGAGGCAGAGCTCAGGTGGTAATGCTTGTTCACCTCCTACTGCTGGCCTAAAAGGCCACAGACTGGTACTAGTCCAAGGCCCCTGGGGTTAGGGACCACTGTTACAGAATCAGCACACTGAAGAGTAAGCAAAAAAGTGCTAGACACAGTCCCTGAGTTTGTGTTGTTAACACTTAAGGAACAAACAAGAACGCATTGGATCATCCAAATAAAACTACATGATAAGTTCTTAAGACTAAGAGTGAGTAATACTTTATGTATATAATTATATAAAAATTGTATATGTATAATTTATGTGTATAATGTAACATATAACATTTGAATGGACTGTGTATATGTACATTTATATTATATGTAATTTGTATATGCTATAATTTATAAAATATAAGCATTGTAATTATATATGTTTATATATATCATAGCATATGTGAATTATACATGAACAATTTTTATATAAGCATATGTATAAAGTTTCACTCACACTGAGCCTTAAGACCCTACCTTGTAGTTGTATTTGGATGATACAATATGTTCTTGCCTATTCTTATTTAACACAAAGTCAGGTACTGTGTCCAGCACTTTTTGGCATACCCCTCAGTGTGTTGATTCACACACACACACACACACACACACACACACACACACACACACACAGTCAGTTCTCATTATTTGTGCTACTTATGTTCTATAAACTAGCCATCAACTCTGCATTAGTGAGTACTGAGCTACTGCTTCTAGTTAAGTATAGGAATAGGATCCTATAAACCTTTGGTCACATTTTTGTCAAGTGTTCAATACATAACCTTGTTTTATGTATATGTCTATGTAAAAACAGCTTTTAAAATATATATTTCTATCACATAATTAAATATATACAGCGTTTCATCATAATGAAACACTAGCCAAGAAAGATTTCACACTTCCTGATCCTGGGTAACATGGCTGTAAACAGTAATGTAAACTTTTTCGGCTTTTAGCTGCATAACAGTGCTGCCTATTATGCCTTTCTTTTTTTACATCAGTCATCATCTCATGAATTCATAAGTTTAGGTGCTTTTCCATCTTTTCCATACCTCATTATGCACAAATAAAGTTTAGCACTTTCCAGAGCAGGCTCATATATGGATTGGCGATTATCTGGATGAACATTGAACTCACAGACAGCAGGCCTTTAACTCATGCCTGAACGTAGCTCATCTAACAGACATATTTCTCTGTAAGGTACATTACAGTCTTCTTGAGCTTAGGAACAGTGGCCAGAACCTTGACGTTACACTGAAGAGCTATTAAACAGGAAAATTACCAACAAAAAGTATAAAAATGCAAAAAAAAAAAAGTGACACTGTTAAGACCATGAAAAGGACACTTGTTTACAGTATGAGTACTGAAATGAGAAGGCAGAGCATGGCCTGGGTCAGCTGCATCTGAGAATTTGCTGTACAGACAACTGAATTTTTTTTTTCCTGCTTTACATAAATCTACAAATGAAAACACTACCCCGTGGTCATTTTCTATCTGTTTACCCACTTTTTTCGACAATCAAAAACCACTGAATAGCTACTCTTTTCATAGTATTAGCTATCCTTGTAAATGACACTGACATCTAATCTGTTGCTTGAGCTAGAATCTCAAAGTCAAATTTGACTTGACCTCCATAATAAAACAAACCACCAAACTGGTGTCTTTCTGTTTCTAAATAAATATTTGTTGGTTTGTTATTATTACTTAACAGCATCTTTTTCTTAGACTACTAAGGTTTCCTCACATTTAATCTTGACCCTTCTAATGTTATCATTATACTGGTATGAACTTTCAAAAATAAT